CTCTCCCTTCAACAAGCCTGGCCTCCTGTCTGTCTGTCTGTCTCATATATTCAGATTTATATATAGATATAGATAGATATACTCGCTCTTTTTTGTCTTTTCATTATAAGAGAACATTTAGGAAAATATAATACAAAATTTAATACAAGAAATATAGACTACACTTGCTAGAATCACTTTCAGTGACGAGTAGCTTCTTTTGTATGCAGTATTTTTTGTAGTTTTGTATTTTTTTGGTCAGGCCTGCCACGGCGGGCCGGCCCCTTTTTGTTTTTAAAGTGCCAAGCTCTACAGACTGCAATAGACTGGGGCTACTGATTATTAAAACATCAGAGAGCAACACAAGCGCCTCCTCCGTCAATAGTGACTATTGTGCATAAGTTACAGGGGGGAGAAATTTCATCTAGTTGGTCTTTAGCAGGGCCCGAAGCTGTAAGAGATACAAGTAACAGATAGCAGAGAAAAAATAAGGTTATTTACTCCTGTTGGAGAGGGAGGGGCGAACTGAATGGGACTAGTTCGCTACTTTGACCGCCTCCACAAGGAGAAAAACGTTACAGCTTGGCCCCCTTCAATCGTTTCATTTTCAGCTTTGACTTGTTAACTAAAAAGACAAAACATCCACTCACACCACGAGGACAACCGGAAAAGCCGCGGAGCTGCAGAGAAGTGTAAATCTTTGGTCGGTGGCAGTGCGCAGGCGGAGAAGGACCCGTTAGTGAAAGGTCCGCGTCCTAAAGGCGACATCGTGCCATCTACAGGCTAAACAGGACAATAAAACGTCTCCCAATGACCCCTCGTGGTCCACTAAAATCAATTCAACTCTCAGAGGAGGCCTCTTGTACTTATTGCTACATCAATTAGCTACTGAGAAGAAGAATGTGAGTTTTATACTTGTGAGACAACTCCTTTTTTTTAGTTTCTTTTAACACAGTAGTCCATCTGCACCAGAGGGTGGTATAGTGTAGTGGTCAGTAGTGTGGAATAGTGGTTAGGCGACCCAACCGGAGGGAGACACGAGGGCTGGACAGTAACTGTACATCTATTTACATTCTCTCTCCTCGGCCGATGCTTTTCAAGGTGCCCCGAACATCTCGCGAAGGAGAGGAGAGTCCTGCTATCGTATGGTTCACATGTCGGTGGGAGCATAGCCGTGCTTTCATATCAGGGTAAAAAAATAAAAGAAAAAAGAGATAGAAATTAAAGGGGTAGTTTTTAGCTGCTCATTTGGAGTTTGGTGAGAAGCGCGTTTGTGCGTGCAAAGGATAGATGGAGCTAGATCCTTCAACTCCTCAATAAAAAGTGTCTATTTTACTGATCATGTGAGCGGTGTAAGCAGATCTAAAACTTCCCAGTTGCTCTCATTAAAAGAAAAAATCTCCCAAAATGCATTAAAGCTTTGTCAAAATGATCTAAGACAAGCACAGGTCATCAGAAACAGCAGCCTCCCGTTAATCCTGTCGTGGATAAGAGAGACGCTGTGGGATGAGTGTGAGGTTCGAGGTCCTACTGTTGCACATATTGCCGAACAAACAGAAGTGCTTTTTTAAATTCCTTTACAACCCAAACTCAGTGCAAAAGACCTTACTGTGCATTATTGCCATTTCAAAATGACTTAAGCTTTGTTTGCAGCCTTTCCGACTCCGTCTTCTCTTCCCCACACACACACACACACACACACACAAACAGACACACACCTATTAACAAGTCAAAGCTGTTCACTACTTCACCACAGAATAATCAGATAAAAACCACTAACTCCTCTCTGCGCTCTCGGAGCCTGCAGCAACACAAGTTAGGGGGTTGTGAGGGCAGCGGGAGGGCAGGACGTGTCGGAGGAGGAGGGGGAGGGGGGGGGGCGGGTTCAGGCAGGACACATTAGGGGTGAGGTAGGGTCAGTGGTTGGGTCATGAGGCGGGACAGGTCAGGAAGGCTATGAGCGGCATGTGGGCCCAGCACACTTCCTGGAAAGTCACGGGCGGGGAAAGGAGCGACAGGTTGGGGTGAGCCGCCGTTGTGGACCGGTCTGATGTGGGTTGCGGGCGGCGTTGGCAATATCAGATCAAGGGAAGGTAGGGCGGGGCGGGGGGGGGGGGGGGGG